ATTTCCCTGCTGGGGCTCCAAGGGCCATGGCCTAAAGGGTTAACCATCTCATTTCCTCCTGTCTTTCAAACCTTAATCCCCATCCTGAGCTGGGTGCATTCCAAGCCACCTGGGACAGGTCAAGACTAGCCTGGCCATGGCTAGCCCTTCATTTCCCTTGGCAGGAGATTAGATGGGGCACCCATTAATCACTCATTACTTGGGTCCTCGATGCTGGCCAGCCCTGGGATGGTGGGGCAGGCACCGCCCCTGCCCAACCCAGGTCCTGGGCCTCCCAGTGCCACCCTTTTGGGACAAGATACCACAGTCCAAGCCTGGCCTTCTATCATCTGGACCATGTCCAAGAGGAGAGGAGTTAAAAGGCAACACCACCAGGGTACCACTAAGCAATCAGTTTCAGCATGGCACATCAAAGAGGGCACTATGCATTGTGCAGTTAGTTGAAAGAATGAGTAAAAAGAAGACATAGGTAGAAAGAGACCACTGTCCCAGGACAACTAACCATCAATAAAGAGAACTTGCTTCTTAAATTCTTGGAGGAATCTGAAGAAAAACTGGAAAGAGGAAAGGATGCTGAATAGAGAAGTCTTTATTATTATTACTGCACAGCTAGGACTGTTCATTAGCTGGGTTTCCATGTAAGGTTGCAACAGGCAGCCCTTTAATCACAAAAACCTTGGGCCTGAGGGAGTCTAATATTATATATTTTTCTACAGCACAGATATTGAGCACCAAGATCCTGCCAAGCACTGACCAGGTACAGAGTAGATAAGAAAAACGGGATGAGAACAGACACTGAGCCCCTACCATCTGTCAGGCATTTGCCTAATCCTCTGCAAGCTGTTCACTGGTCCTGACACACCCTCCGGGCTTTGTCCATGCCTTCCTTACAGTTGGGGAAACCAAGGCTGGTGACTGGAGAGGGGCAAGATAAAGGCCTCTAGAATGAAGGATACCTGATAATTACCAGACCCCATCCTAGTGCCACTCACCATATCTGTGGGGCATGGCTGGCAAGGTGCAGTAGGCCCTATTTGGGGAGTTTAGCCCAGGAAAGTTGGGGCTCCCCCCAAAAAAACCCACCCTGATCCTTTTCCCTTAGCAGTTGCTCAAACCCAGGAATAAATTCACAGTGAGCCTGATGGAGGCAGGACTTCCATGCCTGTTCTCATCAGGGTGTGGGGAGTGTGCTTTCAGGGCTGCACTGTAGACCCACTTCGCCAAAAGAGGGCTCTCCACCTGGCCAGGGCCACGATGTGCCTTTTGCTCGCTCCCTTCATCAAAGGCCCCTGTTAAAAAGGAAATGCCACCTGGGGAAAAGTGGCTTATGAGCAGACCTCCTGACACTAGCCCTTCATTGTAAAGGCAGCCCAGGGCAGTGGTCCTCAATCTGAACCTGCATGAGAACCACCTGAAACAGTCTTAAAAATACCAACTCCTAGGCCCTGCCTCTACCCTGGAATCTGTTTTGTTTTTGTCCCACTGCCCCCTCCTCCCCTCTCCCTCCCCCTCCTTCTTCCTTCCCCCACCCCTACCTCCACCAGATCCAACTCTGATCCAGATGTTCTGAAGACAACACTTTCAGAAAAGAATCATATACTGGAAAGAGCACCAGACTTAGAGACCTGGGTTCTAAGATTTAGGTTCAAAACCTGAGTTGTTGACGTCAGGCAAGTAACCAGACATTCACATTCATATCCTTATAAAATATGAATGCTAATGTCTTTGACATAGGTTGCTGGGAAGATTAAAGCACACACCCCTGCTCACTGAACATAACTTGAATGAGTTCATCAAGCCAATGAGGCTCCAGAAACCAGAGAAGACATATTGGTGAGTTGGAGAAAGAAGAGAGGGCAAAACAGGCCCAGTAAATGAGGGGAACCCTGAAAGGGAGCAAGAGTCAGAGGAAGCTAAAGCCAGAGCCTCCCACAGAAGCCCCCCATACCCAGCGTAAGCCTGTGTCATACGTTAGCTCTTGACAAAACATTTCTAATCCATTATTTTCATAGAGAAGATAGCCAATATTTACACATGTAACCTTTATATCTATACATACATAAATATCACAATACTGTGTACACACACACACACACACACACACACACACACACAGAAAGATAAAAGGGGGAAGCATGGAGAAAAGAAAAGAAAGATGGAAGAAGTGAGATGGCAAGTCAAACCCAGTCAAGTCACAGTGTGGATCTGCTGTGCTGGTAATGTGATACCCTCCTTGGAGAGGCCCAAGGGGAGACCAGTACTGCTTGGCTGGGGCTCGTCCACTAGGACATGTCCAGGCTGAATACAGAGTCAGTGCAAACAATGCAGGAGAGCACAGAGGGGATTCAGGGAGGAGAGGGGAGTGGTGCAAGAAGGCTGGATACACTTCCTGGCAAGGTCTGGGTTAATAGAGGGGACATCTGAATTTCTGAGCACAGTAAAGAGAATGGGAAAGAGGAGTGAAGGGTTTCAGGCAAGAAAGAATTGGGGAGCGCTTGGATCAATAAAGCAGACTAAAATTAAGCCAGTTTTAAATGCCCTGATAAAGAATGGCCTTGGCTCAAACTGTCCACAAAAGTACTTTCATATCTCCAGGGCTTTGCTCAAGCTCTCCCCCCTCGCCAGCATCCCTCCTCCTTCCAGCCGTTTCCACCTCCTTGGAGTCCTCCTCAGGCTTCAAAACCCAGCTGTAATTTCCCTAGCTTTTCCCGTGCAGAAAAAGTCTCCCTCATTTGTGCCTCCTTGATGGTTTGCACACCCCAAATATTCTACATTGTTTTATGGTTATATCTTTATGTCTCTTTCTCTCCCAGGTGGCCATTAATCATCTGCTAGCCTGTCAACAAACTGAGGGCAAGGATATTGTCTTGTTCTTCCTGAAGCTCTAGCACATAGTAACAGTTCCTGGCACAGCAGACACTCAGAAATATCTGCTGGAGACAAATTAAACAGAAATGAATATGGGGGTTGGGGTGGAGGGCCGATTTTGATTTCTTGAGAGGAATGATGTGGTGAAATCAGAATTTTAGGAATATTAATCTGTCAACATAAAAGAAGATGGATTAAAATGAAAAAAGAGACTCATGGCCAGGAGTCAAGAGAGGAGTTATCACTGTAATTTGGACATAAGTGGGGGCAGAGGGAATGGAGACAGAAAAATAATTTTCTGAGATATCACAAAAGAATGTAGAAGGGACTTGGTAATGAATGAGCTATAAATGTGGGGGATAGGGTGAGGGTAGTCTGGACCACTCAAATATTGAGACTCCTGGACAACTGGGAGACAGGTGGGAGAAAAATGTGGGGGATCGAGAAGGAAGGGGGTGGTTGATACCTGGTCTCTCTGTAGGATAACGAATTGCAATTACAAGCATTTCTCGACAAAACAAAAAACAAAACCCACAACACTTCCAAATCACAATTTCTAACCCTGATCTTTCTCCTCAACTCTGGCTTGTAGTGTATTTATTTTTTCCCTAACAGCCATTTAGAAACATTTCTTCATGGCAGGGGAACCTGAGATAAAGATACGGCCCACCGGTGCCCTGTTCAGTGGTGGGCATGGACAAGTCCCCAGGCCTCCCCAGGAAAGTCCAGGGGGTGCACTGCTCATTCCGGAGTACTCTGGTATTCTGATCACCCAGTCTCCCTTCCCGTGCCCAGCCTGTGGGAAACCCCTGTTCCAGTCCTGCAAAGGTTTATAGGAAAGTCCCAGGACTACCGTCTGTTTCCTCTCATTAATTTCAGGGCGAGAAATATTTTGTTTTCTAAAGAAATTCAACTATGGTGCCAACAAAAATCTATAGAATTGAGGAGTAATGTATTTAAATCACGTTCTTAAAATTTTTGCTTGTCTGTATATTGAGACCCAGTAAGATCATATTAATATTATCCCAACCACTTCCTCACCTTTATCAATGAAGTAGAAGACAGGTAGAGGTTATGCAAGTTTAAGAGCCATGTAATTTTGAAAATCTTTACACTATTCTGTGCCTGGATTAGCAGAGGGGACTGCTGGAAAGATAATTCTGTAGACCTCTCTTTGGTCTCTATTTCTCTTACTCCAAACTCCCACAGGCATCTCATGACCACTCAGCTACTCAGGTCCAGGATTGCAGACACACTGCCTGCAAAGGGGAAAGCTTGGCGCGGTGGGGTCACAAAGGAGACAGGAGGAGACCCGAGTATGCACAGTTGAAAGGCAGCAGTGGGAGCTGGGGGCAGGGGTGGGTGTGGACTGCTTAGAAAACACCAGAACCACACATTCCAAATGCTAAGTGGCCTGAGATCGCCCTGAAAACCCTTCCCAAGTTAGGGCTAATGTTATTTCAAGGAAAAAAATAATAATAATAATAACTCCCAGGCCCCTAAAGCCCCGGGTGTGTGGCTCTGGAAAAGCTAAAGGTAAGAGCGCACCAAGGCTGCAGGGAATTGGGCTGCACTTGGGGAAGCGTCCTGAGTTGGTGGGAAAACCCATCCACTCCGACTCCCGCTGGCTCTGCGATGCCTCGGCTCAGCTGAGACACACACGGACCTGAGGCTTCATAGAAAGCGGCGTGGCCAAGGCCGCTGGCCGCAGCTCCATGGTCGCCGACCGACCGACACTCGACCAGATCAACTCTCAGGCCCCGGAAGGAGGGAAGCGAGGCCGAGGCGGGGGCGCGCGGGCTGGCCCTGCATTCTCCGGTCCCCTCCGCCCAGACCCAAAGCGCGCGGGCCCGACTCCGAAGGCAAGGTGGGCTGTCCCTAGAGTTTGAGGTGGGGGCAGAGGGTGAGTGCCGGCGCCCGCAGGACGCGCGAATCCGCCAGGAAGGGAAGTGAGGGAAGGAGGTCCTTTGCAAGGACCAGGCGCCGCGGGCTTCCAGAACCCGGTGCGGACTCAGCCCAGGGGTCCCAGAAACACCCACCCGCCCGGCGCCGCGGAGCCGCCCGCACCGCCGCGCAGAGGGCCGAGGAGGGAGCGGGCGTTGGAGGCGCGGGACGCGGGCAGCTCTGCTCACCTGGGGGTCCACGTCCCGCAGTGGCCGTCGGCTGCCTCCCTCACCTCGCCCAGTGTGGTTCCCGGAGCCGGGCAGCCCAAGCCCGCCGCCCTGCGCCCACCCAGCACAGGCTCCCCTGCGCTCCGGCTCCGCGTCGGGCTGCGCGGGCGGCTAGTGGCTCATGCGCGCGCGGAAAGCTCCGGCTCGGAGTCTGCGATCTGATAGCCTGGACCCGCGCTCGCTGCGTCCCGCCTCCCTCTCCCATTCGCGGCTTCCCCGTGTCATCTGGAGCCTCTCCTGCCGTCCCCTGGCGGCCGCCTGGGGAAGAACAGGCCCTAATTCACCCTGGGGACTGTCCCCTTGCAACGATGAGCGAGGTGGATGGTTGGTACCATCCAGTATATGGGAGGACAGAGGCAAGGAGGACAAGAAGGTGGCCAGAATGGTCCTGGCTCGCCAGGACTAGTGAGACCAGGAGATAAGGTAAGGCCAGATGGGGGAAGGTCTTGAATTCCACGTGATTCTTATTCTGAGGTTTGTGGGAGTCATGGAAGGACTGAAGCCCAGGAGGAACAGGGCATCCTCAGGTTTTGGAACAACCATTCAGTCTGCAACAGGGTAGGGCTGAGGCTGAAGCCAGGAGCCAGCAAGAAAAACTGTCCTGTAAACCAGAACAGAGAAGGCAGTGACTGTAAGGATAGCGAGGGATAAGCCCTTGTCTAAAGAGCACACACCATCACACTCTTGGGCATATTCACACACAAGAGGAGCCCCACTGGGCTTCTTCTGAATGCAAGAGAAAAAGACAAGAGTCCTTGAAATTCAACCTGGGGCTAAACAGCATGGGGGAGAGAAAACCCTTGATAGGAACATGGCTTCTTGTCTTACTCAGGGTAATAGTTTGGGAAGAACATAACTGCCACAACATCATCCTCTTCCTCACTATCGAACTGTGATTTGTATATCCATGCCCCTCTTTTTACTAATTTGGAAATTGTCCCAAAGAAGGCATGATCAAAATTACACAGCTAGTTGGTGGCTAGTTAACTGGACCCCATATTTCTTGACTCCTAGTGCAGTACTACATTCTTTACAATCAAACAGAGGTGTTTAGGGCTAGTAAGATAAGAAATAGAGTGACAGAGAGAAAGTGCCCCTCCTCTCCAAGGAAAGGTGGGGTGGCCAGAAACATTGGAAGAGGCTGTCCAGACACAGGCCATCTCCCTAAATGTGAGTCACCTGTGTGTTTGTTTATCAGTGCCTCTCAAGTCCACCAGCAGGGGTTGTTTTGAAAGTGCAGGTACAGGGTAGACAATGAAGCTGCTTGCCTCAGAGCCAGGCCAAGCCAGGGGTGGGTGCCATGTATGAGGGAGAAAGGAGAGCAACAGGACACAAAACTCAGGAGCAAGGAAAGGGGAGTGAATAAAAGAGAAAGTGGCAAACCAAGGGCTTAGGCCAATGAAAGAGAACCAAATTTGAGTGCTGACTACTACCTGAGAGCCTGGGCAGAGCCAGTTCTCACTGATTCACTGGCTCAAATGGGTTGAAATAATTTCACAGTTGATCAAACAGATTCTGATTGCATGCACCCAGTGTGAGTGGAATTAAATTAATCCTGAGTCTCATGGTTCTCATAGGTCCAGGTTAAGTGGATCTAACAGTGCTAGTCAATTCTGGCCAACTTAAGCCATTTAACATGATAGAAAAATAACACAACATTAGAATGTACTCAGTGCCCCTGAATTGTACACATAAAAATGGTTAAAATTATAAATTTTAGGTAATTCATATTTTACACATTTTTTCAAAAATAAAATAAAACTTTTAAACATGTTTGAATTTGATTAATTTGAAAAACTCATTTAAGAGATACGTACTAAATACTGAAAAGGACTTGGTGTTAGGAAGTAAATGTGAACTGAAAAAAAATTTTCCATTACAAAAGAAGCTCAGAATAAGCTAAGGAAGTCATTCTAGTAGGTGGTAGGTATACTTGGGATATGCAGAAGCATCTGAGAGTTCACAGGAAGGGAGAGAGAATCTGAGATGTCCCTCCTGAGCTGAGTTTTAGAGGATGAGGGGAGTTCATTAGGCAGGGCTTGTGGGTTTATTAGTTTTTATGAAAAAAACAAACTAATTTTAGATTTACAGATAAGTTGTAAAAATAATACACAATATTCCCTTATAGCTCCCACTCTTATATCTTCCCCTAATGTTAACATCTTGCATAACCAAAGTCTAATTATTTATTGACCAAACTTGATCCATCTAACGTAGGGTGGCTCTTCAGAGCTGCTTCTGATCCATTTCAGATTGTTTTGACCATATTTTGTGTACATAAACAGAAAATGTTCTTTATTTGAAGTCAAGACTATATTGCAAAATCTGCTCACATTTTAAATTAAAAGATATTTGCATTGCATATAGAAACCTGTGTATTAATTATTTAAAACAAGGTTTTAATCTTTCAGTCCTGGTATTTTCTACTTTTATCCAAATGTGTATGTATGCCTGAGTCAGATTGGCAGGATTTAGTCCTGCGTTTGAAAGGCGCTACTAATCCTCAGCAACAGAGAGGACAAAGAAGAGTGGGTGCCTCAGATCACAGAGGCCTCCCCAGGGTGCCTCCCTGGCAGGCCAGTGTCTTCTATGCACAACATCTTGGTGAGTGTGTTGTTAGTTACCCTGTTGCATATCTCAGTGACAAGGTTCTCACTACCTCATACTGTTGTTGGAGGATCTCTATTAGAAAGCCCCTTAACATTTGAACTGAAAACTTTTCCCTTGTAACTACTACCCAATGACAGACAAAAAGCATAAATTTCTGCATGTGTCAGCTTTTATACACAGAGTGGCCAGATTACTATGATCTCTGAATGCATAATAATCTGGCCACTCACTGTACTTCTCTTGAGTACCTCATTTATTTGATATCAAAGATATTATAAATCATGCACCTGATCAGATTTCCCCTTTGCACTGGATGGTAGAAAGCTCAGGGCAAATAGGTGGTTGATCTCCAGCAAAAGTCTAGAATACTTTTAGTACCCATTTGAGATACAAATATACTGTGGTCAGATTATTATGCGTTCAGAGATCATAACAATCTGGCCACTCAGTGTATGTGGGACAGTCCTAGCTCACACCTGATTTCCAGGTGTAATTATTAATTTGTGATTAATAGTGCCCCTTTAACTCTGTTGTCCCAGTTGAAATGCTACATGATCTGGTCCTCCGCACAAAAGACTTCCAGCACCCACCTCACTAAGGCTGCCTCCTACCAGGACCCAGTCCTAGCATTCAGCCAGTCCTCCTGAGAGTGCCCTGCCTGGAACAGAGTCAGCATACCTCGAGGGTGCTCCAATGCTGGAGGATGCCGAGAGACACTTGCAGGGATTTCAGAGCAAGGTGTGAACAGGCCACAGGAGAGCAGCGTGGGACCACTGGCCCGTGTGGGGACTTGTGAGTCACACACCTGCACCTCAGGAGAAAGAAAGCACTGACCACAGAGCCTTTCACCAGCAGATCGTTTCTGGGGCCTAGAGTCCCAAAAATTACACTTTGAAAAGTACAGCTCTGCATTCTTGACAAACACTGGTGTTTTCATCCTAATGGCATTTCAGGGGACCAGCAGGGAAGGAAACCCTTATATTTGATCAACTTTGTTAATGTTTTGAAGGCGGAAGGGAAACAGACATGTCTTCAAACCCCCAATTTCAGGCCCCAGAGAGGTACTAGGAAACATCACAATACTTAAAAAATTGTTTCATTTTCTTATTTGTAATCTTTGTAGCCTGTAAAGTCAAGGTGAGCTTGGATGCTCAACACAACCCTTTAAAGTTGGTGACTTTGTCATTGTTTTAAGCAGTTTCTAAGCTCCTGGGGTGAGTTTCAAGAAGCAGATTGCCTCCTTAACACAGTCCCTTCCTTCCTACTCCAGAGCCTGTGGGATATTGACCTAAAGACTGCCCTGTGCCTCTGCCTGGGGCTGGCCCTTTGCTGGACTGTAATCCAGGACGAGGCAGAGAATGGAAATCTGCAATCACTACTCCCAGGGCAGAAGCAGAATGGTTTCTAGGTGGAAAACCAAGGTTTCCCATGAAGTGTTGGAGTCTTTACGCTACATTTCAGGTTCCAGGCCCTGTGTCCAGTCAGCAAAGATAGTAAATGTCATGTTACAGAGTGAAAGCAAGATGATGGCATAGGTGAACACCTAAACTGCTGCCTCGCACAACAATTTCAAAACTACAACTAAAAGACAAAATGGACATCATCCAGAACACAGGAAGGCTGGCTGAGTGGAAATTCTACAACTAGAAGGAAAGAGAAAAGTACACTGAGACTCAGAGGAGCTGCGAAAGGCTGAGGTACGGAGACACGCATGCAGAGAGGTTGGGTGGCTAAGTGCCTGGCTGGCTTTCTCTGGCAGGAGGGAGATGGAAGCTCCCAACTGCACTGAACCCCAGTTCCGGGTAAAACCCTGGGAACCCGGACTCATACGGGGGAAGTCTGGACTATCTGGAAAGGAGGGGAGTGCGTGGAAACTCAGGAGAGTCACGAAAGGCAGAGGTCTGGAGGTACATGCGAGAGTGCATGCAGAGAGGACTGGCTGCTGAGTGTGCCTCTGGCTTTCTCTAGCAGGAGGAAGAGGTAAGCTCCTGACTGCACTGAACCCCCATTTTGAGTGAGACCCTGGAGACCCAGACTCATACAGGGGGATTCTGGACTGTGGGAAGAGAGAGGAGTGAATGGAGACTCAGAGAGCCACGAAGGGCAGAGGTATGGAGGCACACGCACGAGTGAGCACATAAAGGACTGCACAGATTACCAAGGGACACTGAAACCCAGGAGCCTCATAGGGCAGAGCTGACGGGAAGCCAAGGCTATCTGCTCAGCCTTGAGACCCTGCCCCATCAAAGCTGAGCACAGAGGTTTTTGCAATTTTGCAAGTCTTATCTCATAAGACTGTCTCCAGCACAGAAGTTCTCCCATTGTAGACACAGCTAATCCTCACAGCCAATTGGCCTGGAGGTCAATTTCTCCAGTGATACCAACAACAATCAAGACTTAACTATAACAAGGCTGTACACACTGTCCACAAGGGGGTGCACCAAGAGTGTCCACCTCAGGTAATTGGGGAGGCTGAGCCTCTGGGCCCTATAGGACACATAGCACACAAAGCTACTCTACCAACTCAGGGAAGCAGTGGAAATACAGAGACAAAGAAACAGATCACAAACGAAAGAAATGGAGGAAAACAAATGACTGGA